TCTGTTTTCTCAGAACCCGACGGAGAATCCACCCGCAGACTCAACGAAGATATTGCTCGGATTATTGGTCCTACTGGTGGCAAGATACAAGTAGACTTGGATGCTGCCCACCGCAAGTGGCCCGAATTCTACGGCAAGCCGAAGGCCAATGTCGAAGCAAGACACAACCACCCCGCTCCCAAGTCCACAGGCTCATTGCGTCACAAGGACGCCGTCTCCCATAAGGCTATTGTCCAGAAATATCTCTCCAACATGGATGACGACTCCACGGACATGACTTGGCAGGGTTCTAAGCGGACGCGTGCTGAAATGCAGCCCCGCGTCGAAGACAACGAGTCCGATATGTCAGCGAACATGTCCAAGTCACCTTTCCGATTCGATATCAATGCCGACAGCTTCAAGTTCAACCCTCAACAGCAGATGAACCGTAGTCCCTTGTCAAGAGGACACGCTCGATCAGCATCTGGCAACCACAAGTCAGCACGGCGATGTTCCTACGCCGCCAACATGGACCGACGGAAGTCAGACTTCCTGGCTCCCCCAACACAAGCCACCCCGAAGCAGACCACAGCCGACAATGTCCCTACAAATAAGTCTACGCCTGTCACATTCAACACGATCCGAAGCACGTTCCCTTCGCCGGCCACTACCGATAGCCCGGCACAAAATGGCGCCACGTCACGCTCTTTCTTCATGCCCGATATCTCTCACCTCAATGACTTCATCTCCGGCAACTTGCGCTTCAATGGCGCAGTGAAGAATGGCGTCCCAGTCTTCGTGAAGAACGGACAAGTGCGGGACCGCATTGATACCTTGCCGCCCAATGACCACGCCGAGGTGGACGGCCTTGCGATTCCCGAGGATGAAGAGAAGATATTCGTGTCCATGGATATGATCCGGAACGAGATTTGCAATCTTCAGGAGCACGATGATTTGGTTCAGCAGCATGCAGTAGAGCTCGAGAATCAGGTGGACCATCTTCAGACCGAATTGAAGCGCATCAAAGGCCGCAAGTCTATCGATAGTGCCCTCGGATCCCGGACAGGCTCAGAGCCGGAAACGGCTGGCGAGGAGCGCTATCAGACACAGAAGCTGAGTGAGTATCATGAGACTGCTCGTTGAAATTCCATCTAACCAGTGACAGAGTTGGAATCGCAGGTAACATCTTTGCAAGCACGCTTGGACCAGGCAAGCACCCGGCTCGGCATTAACGAGGTCGAAAATAACACCTTGTCTTTGGAGCGAGACCGGGCTTTAAAGAAGCTTTCAGACGCCTGTATGCAAATCGGTGATCTCATGGATCAACTCGAAATCAAGGGAAGAGAACTCCATGAGACCCAAGATAAGCTCAATGCCACTCTGGAGTTTACCAACCAGCAAGAGGTGTTCCGTCAGGACAAGCAAAGCCACGAGGTCCGGTCCGCCGATAACAAAGCTCTTCAGGAAGAGAACCAGACCATTCGCAAGGAACAGGAAACTCTACAACAGGAAATGGAGTCTCTGCGGACAGACAACAACTCTCTGAGGCGCGAACAAGAATCTCTCATCAACGAGAACAGGTCTTTGAGGGCTAATGCGCGATCGCTCATGTCCGAGAACGAGGAGCTTCGCCAGACCACGACCAATGCCAAGGAGGATCTCGAGGCAGCCCGCGATGAAGTCGAAGCCTTGCAGGTTGAGCTTCACACCATGGAGCAAGAGAAATCCACTCTCAAGGAGGACAACGATAGCCTCGTTCGCCACAACGAGAAATACTTCAACGAGAACAAGATCCTTCGCCGCGAAAACTCGGGTTTCGAGCGCAGCATTCACGACCTTCACGACGAGAATATGCAATTGAAGGAGGAGATTGAGTTCCTCAAGCAGCAGCTCGACCACTGCCGTCCTCTCGGAAAGACGGATGACTTTTCCGTGCGTCTGGATAAGGGAGTTGACGACGAGGAAACGGAGGAGAACATGACTTCGGCGTTCTTCATGCCGGACATTACGATTGACAGCACACAAAACTCAAGGGTTCTCGATTTCACTCCTGAGCCGAAGAAGATCCAGAGGCAAGCGACGCCAGGTAGGAAGGCTGCCGAGATTCAGGACACCACTGAGCAGACAGATCGTAGTGTTAATGAGCTCGACCACACTGTTCAGAGTCAACAGAGCTCCGTCGCAGCCGAGGGTCGTTCTAAGAGACGAGACTCCACCCACCGTGCGCAGGACTCGACCAGTCAGCAGAAGGTGTCCTTCTCTCTCCCCGAACGGTTGGCAGCGAGTTCCAAATCCAAGAGCGCGAGGGAAAAGAGCAGTAAGGCCTCCAACACTGCCAACAAGGGTAGCAAGAGGAGCATCTCTGCCCAATCCACTCCCAAGAGCTCTTTCAAGGGGGCTTCTCTCCCCGATCTCGACCCGTTCCAAGCCGATGACGAGGGCAACATGCAATCGCCCGAGCACACTCAGACGCAGACTCACTCCATGGTGATCGACATGAAGACGAAGAGCAAAAAGGAGTCTCGTACTGTCCACCAAGAAACAACGAACACCACCCGAAACTTGACTAGCCAGAGCCAGAAGTCATCAAAGTCCACGACAAAGCCTTCCAAGGACAAGTCCATTACCGTCGATCTGATTACGCAGGGCGGGCTAGACCACACCTCGACTACTGATGTCAAGGGCAACTGTCCTGCTTTGACCTCCGACGCTCGACGTGTCCTGGATAGCTTGGCCGGACACAGCTGTAAGAACTGCATTGTGTGCACTCGGATCAAGGCTCATCGGGGAACGATCACTTCTGTCGACATTGCTGAGGGAAAGAAGCGAGTGAAGATCTCTAGGCCCGTTGCTCCCTCGGATCAGTATAAGACGCTGGGCACTGCCGCGGACGACCTCACAATGCGTCCTTCTCAGCCTCCTGGACATGCTTTGGCGAAGGTCATCAAGGGTCTCGAGGATGAGCTGGAGCACATGAAGATGGAACACGCCAAGATGCAGGCTCGATACGATAACCACAACCCTGCTCTTGCGGAGACGAAGCGCAAGCAGCTCAAGACAAACATTGACGCCAATATGAACGCGCAGGAGGTCAAGAACGGCCAAATCTACGCACTTTATGATGTGCTCGAGGGACAGAAACAGGTTGGACAGGATATGTCGGATGAAGAGCTCGACTTCACTATCTTCAGTATTACCGGATTGAGTGTTAGGGACATCACTGACCAACTCACTTGGGAGGGCATTCAGGGTTAGGATCATGGCATGGCTTGACGCTTGCACTATGAGCGAGGCATTGCCCTTGTATGGCGTTTTGGGTTGTATTTTGCAGATATCAGGTTGTTGGACGGGAGTATGACTCTGGTTCGAGTCACTCAGGAGAAGGAAATTGTCATAAGTTTTGTTTTTTTGGCTCTGCTTAATCATTCTGGTCCGCATTGTATATATACCAGACCTTCGAGGACAGCAGTTTGTTGGCGGAGAACAATCGGAAGGGATACCCCATGCCATTATCATACTCTGACTTTACTTTGCATGTGATATTGAACCGCTCGCCCCTTTTCCTTGGAGTTTTCCACTACGTCTCGTGAGAAGTTGAGATGCTTGGGGTTGACAGACGGAACCAGCTTAATCAGCGATTTTGACGCCAAGAGCAAGCTCGCTGTGAACTGCCCAATCGGGAAGTGATCTGTAGACTAACACGGGCTGTCAACACCATCGTCGGCTTCGATGTCTGCATTGATGCTTTGGCTGTGGCTTGACAATCACTCTGCTTATAAACGTGGAAGATTATGTCAGTCCTGAATACAGCAGACCCTCGTTAATGACGCCGGATGCTGATTGATGAAGATGCCTTGTTTGGAGACTCGACTACATAATGGTCAGATAGGGCGAGTATAAGACGATGGCTTGAGCCATCTTCCAAAAGCCAAAAGATCTTGAGCATCAACAAACTCATAGCAGCTATACAATCGCCTTGCTCTATAAATCAACCGTCTTCTGTACCCATCTTCAACCATACCCACCATCCAGAATGCGTGTCGCCATCGCCGGTTCGGGTGCCGTAACCCGCTACTTCGCCGAAGAGCTCCCCGCAATGGGCATCGACCTCGTCATCCTAACTCGCTCTCTCAAACCCGAGCTCGAAAACATCCAGGGCGTCCGCCAGGTCGTGACGGATTACTCGGTTCCTTCGATCCTCGAGGGCATCGAGGGCTCCGTCGCCCTGGTGTCCAACATTCTGGACTACTCCCCGGCCTTTGTCGACGTTCACGCGCGCCTCATCGAGGCGGCGAAAGCCAGCAAGACGTGCAAGCGCTTCGTCCCCGCCGAGTACGGTGGTAATCTGGAGGACTTCCCAGACCAGCCGGGCTTCTACGCTCGTCGGCAGGGAGTGGTTCGAAAGATGCTGGAGGAGCAGCAAACGGGGCTGGAGTGGACGCTGCTTTCGACCGGATGGTTCATCGACTATGTTGTGCCGCGCAAGAACCGCTACCTCAACGACGGCGGAGACGCCATCCCCGTCAACCTTGCGGGTGGAAGCATGCTGATTCCTGGGACCGGCAAGGAGCCTCTGGATATGACCGCCGTTCGGGACGTGGTTCGTGCTGTGGGCAAGCTCCTCTTTGCGCCGAGCTGGGAGCGGTATACGTACATCTCGGGAGGGAAGGCGACCTGGAATGAAATTGTCCCGCTGATTCGGGAGAAATACCCGCAGGTCAGTGTGAAGTATCGCAGCCTGGCTGAGTACGTTGAGGATATCGTTGCCCACCCGGACCCGAATGGCGAGGAGCGGATTATCGCAGAGTATGGGATCTTCTCTGCCAGTCACGCTGGGGATCTGCCTGTCGAAAAGGTTGCTGCTCATCGCGAGAAGTACTTTTCTGGCCTCAAGTTTAGGACTGTGAGGGAGTTGCTGGCCGAGGTTGAGAAGGATCCTGAGGTCATCGTTTAGGGGTAAGAGACTAGGTGTTTCTTAGAAAAAGGAGTGGAAGGTCTAGATAGTCTTCACAGAACCTATCTCAATAGAGAATCACATCAAACTCTGGCATCCGTGAAAGTACACGCGTCCAAGGCTCCGGTGATACACCAGTGGCAGCCAGGTCGCGGCGTTTCCACACCTCTTCAACCGCGAGAAGCAGCGTATCCCAGGTAGCGATCCCGAGTGACTTTCTTCTAGAGAATAGCAATCTTGCCCTATCCCGTAGCTCCGGCATCCTGGCCTCGAAGGCCACTGTGGCGTAGATCCACGCTTTGGGGCTGCTGTTCTTCTGCAGGGATTCGAGGTGCTCCATGTGGTCAAGACACCTAGCAACCAGATTTTGGACGTCCTCTTCGGGGCTTCGCCTCCCAGAGTTACCCTTGAAGTATAGTAGGCACGCATGGTAGAATAGCGAGCGGTGGTGATGTACCATGGCCGACTCCGCGTTGCTGGCGTCGTAATCTACAGAAGGCTCGGGCGTGGACAAGGCGAATTCGATCTCTAGTTGGTCGAGGTCCTCTTCTGCAAGGATTGAGGAGTGCACAAGTTTTGCGTTGAAGGAGCAGACCAGCTCAAGAGATCGTACCGGCATGATTTGGCTCTTCGATAGCTCGACGTCTGGCAGATACGTCTTCATCGGAACGGGAGCGTCTAGTCGTCCGAGGTACTGGGCAAGCACCGTGGCAAAGGTGGAGGAGTAGGACTCGTACGTCAAGGCGGCGGTAGTTGACTGTCTCCAGGTTGCCATGCTCGTGTCGTCGAGGAGGTCACGGGTCACCTTTACGACCTCGCGCCAGGCGCCCGCGGTGCCGGTGACGAAGTGAGTGAGAATCCATAGGCAGAGAGTGGCGAGACTCGCCATCCGCTCGTCATGGTCCCTGCAGTTCATGCTTTGCATAAGGTGGTGGAAGCTCAGTTGTTTATGACGGAGCATCAGGTCTGCGTAGCCGGCATGGGCGTGAGTACTTCTGAGGTTCGCCTGGTGGGCCGCGGAGATGGCGCAGACTGCGTGGAACAGAGCGACGGTGGATGTTGATCTCGTCTTGGCGAGGCGGCTTCCCTCGAGAGCCATGGGCGATACAGTCGTCAGAAATGGGTTCGCTGGGCTGCGAATGGGTATCAATTTGTGTGCGAGGTTCGTCGCCCAGTGGTTGATGAGTTCTCTTTCTCGAGCAGGAGCTAATGGTGCTTCTAGTGGCCATGCCGGATTACCCATGGGGGATAGGTCCCAGTGGCTGGAGACGTCAAAAGAATTCCACTCAACGTCCAATCTACTGTTCTGTAGCATTTCCAGTCCTTGATCATGCGATTGGACGTTTAGAGACGGTGGCTCCCTCCTCGCAGTGCTTCTACCAGCTTGCCAGGCATCTTCAACCCTGACGCGTGGTTCGCACGCCCGGAATCTTAGAAGCGGGCCGGTCTGTTGATTATCAACAGCTGTAGATATCCCTTGGTTCGGCGATTGTGAAGGGTTCTGCGATGAGGAGCTGGCCTTTGTCCTCGGCCGACGCCGGCCACCACTGCTTGATGTTCCTGTTCCCGTGGGCGCGAGCCAGGTCAGTCGCGTGTCATATCCTTGACATGTGAACTTGCCAGCAACGCAGCGCCGGCACGCTGGTCGCTGTTCGTCGCATTTCACATGGCGTTCGCGGCAAGTCCAGCAGCCTGTGAAACTTTTCTGTCGCTTACTTCTGGCGATCCTTTGTAATGGTCGATTTGGTGATTCATCAATTGCTGGACGCGGGGTCAGCTCGAGTAGCATCTCCCCATTGATTGCAGGCCGTAGCATCTCCAATTTGTTATTATCGTTGTCAAAGTTGGACATTTCTATAGTGATACTGAATGTCCTAGATGACATGAGATTGCGGAACATGGCATTGCGTTGAGCATCTCGAAAGGTTGAATGCCAACTAGTTTGTTTCCCTCAACATGTTGATTAGTCAGTCGACTTCAGCCAGCGTGTAAGACGAACGAAGAAACGCTGACACTGCCAACTATCGTACAACACTGAAAGTTCTGAGATTAGACATTTCTAGTCAAATAATACCCTGAGACTGAAATGTGACTGCTTCGCACAGCTACGCGTCGCAGCCTTAGTCTCATGTACCTCTCTGAGCAGCAACAGTGCACTCATTGACCTTTCCATCCCAGAGAAATTTCCTCTACTCACTGTGGCATGCCCTCATCAACGAGTCACAGCAGTCGATCACTTCTTCTGGAAGAGATTCATCGATACAAATATGCTAAGGGACGGATGGCAACCTCCTAAGTTTGCGAAGTAAAGGTTGCGAGCATCGGACTGATCGATCTCCCTCTCGCAGGCCTGTAAGGCTCACAAACTCCTCTATCTGCATCCGGTAGGAACTGCCTTTCAGCTCATGCTTCGCGATGCTGCCGGGCTGCCATATCACGGAATTGCTTTCTCTGGAGAACCTTGGCAATTTGGAGGCAAATAGGTACCATCATCCCCAAGGTTCCTGCAACGTACCTCTCCATCCGATTTGTGGCCATTTGCTTATAATACCTAACGGAAGGTCCATACACCTTCGACTTTGAGAAGGAAGCTAAAGTTCCAGCACATGTCGGCAGTAACTTGGGTGAGGCAGTACTTGAGTGACAAATATCATTCACCATAAATAGCATGGGCGCCAAGTTCAACTCAATAAGATGCGCCGTTCGAGCCAAATCCAGATGGACCATCTCACAGCCCAGCCCTCCATCTGTTGCCCTGGTAGCAGTGCTCTTTCCTGTAAGACATTAACAAGCACCCCAACGGCTGCCTCTCAGGTTCCAACGGTTTGTATCGTCACGTGAGTAGAAGATTCAGGGACGTACTCCTTACTCCGTACCTTTCCGGCCAATCAAAAAACAGGGACCTGGTCTTGATTTTTCATTGGCTGTTAAATGGTTGGATCCACCGAGTGATTGAGGCCAATGCGGCCCCACTCTGCTGCCCTCTGGACACCTATATAATCCCACCCAATCTCCCGCCTTTACACCGTTTCCTCTTTTTCTTCTTCATACTTACCTTCATGGGCAGTCTGGGGATCAAGAAATCCGGACTGCAGAGAGGGATGCCTGCATTGCACATCGCGGAGTAGACCTCTCTCGATTGTCCTTCGGGGCCATCGCTGTGGCAATTTTTGATTTTCAACCACACTTTTCATTGTATTCATCGCCTTGCGCGATGTTATGAAGAAGAGTTCGGCTCGAGGTGGTGTGCCTTTCCTCACTTTTGCTTGCTCACCAGCTGGAGTCTACACCGAGCAGCTCACACGCAGTCCCACGCACCCAGGCGTACCTGAGAGTTTAACCAAGAGAGTTTACTGCGACTCTTGCTACCACGCCTAGAGATGGTGACCGAGCAGCGATCCACGCACGCGCGCTGAATGCATGGGGATATTCGCGAGTGAGCGGCAGTAGCAGGCTGACTCCCTAAGTTCTTCGCTGAACGCACACATTCTTTGAGCGATCTCATGCCACGCAATTATTCTAGGAAGGAGCTGCTCATCGAGACCTTCCTTGTAGTATCTACGCGAGACATGCGGATATGTAGCTTGCTAGAAGGGGAAGGCCGTATCTGTGCCCGTGCCTGCTTACCTGTCAAGAAGCGGAGGTGAACGGGGTGCCTCTTTCCCGTAGCCTTTAACATGTGGATGTTGCCCTGGCTGTACCTACCTGCCACATATCTGTTCCCATGCTGAGCAAAAAACTGGACAGCGGAAACGTCCCGAAGACACAGTTTCGTCCTCTCAGATATCACACTTCTTCAACTCGAGACGCAATTGATACAGTCCCTCACCAAGCCCTCTACCTACAGTCTTCGAGAACGGGAGGTGAGAAATGCATGTGAGTTAATCAACACTTCACTTCACCTCGCAAAGCAATCCCATCAACAGACGCAGCCTAGGATGCACTGACACCTGGAGCCGGAGTAGAGACCGTAATGCCAACGAGGGACTCATCATTGCTCATCTTGATGTCTCAGGCCACCCTTCCACCAAGGCTCGACTCCACAAGTCATGCCATGCACATCAGCCTCCAGTCGAGTCATCAATTGGCCTATGTGAAGCCCCGTAAGATGACGACACCCTCACATTCAGCAGGCATCCTGCTCTCTTGATTCCTGACTTTGAGTCCCGTTTGGTATCCCCAAAGTGTCGATAAAGATGCAGCATACATTACCCCTTTCAAAGCAAGAAAGGCTTCTACAGCTGCAAGTTCCCGGTCAAGTGCGAACCAGATCCAGTCGTGTAGACAAACATGTCAGCAGGCGCTTCAGCTGGCTGACCTCAGCCGGACACTTGCGCAAGGCGGCCGGGAAGGGAGATCGTCCCCGGCAGTGCTCATTGGACGGCGGACGTAAGTTGGGAGTCAGCATCGAGTTGTACACACTTACCACTTCGTTTCCTACCTTCTGAATCGAGATATTGGATGACAGGTATGGGACCCCGCCGTTCTTGGGGGCGGTTTCGAGGATACACTTCAACGGCAAGCTGAACGGCAGCGCGTCTGTATGCTTTCTTATTCGTGGCAGATGCTGACGATTGAGACAAATTCCATTTGTTGTCTGCCTGGTGGCGGGATGACATGCTGCTACACGAGGCTCGAGATGCTGGCTTAATGCAGAAACTGCCTTGAACAGCCTCTATGTCTTGGCTGGCATGTGACTGCTGCTCGAGGCTCGCAGGCGGGCGTCAATGTAAGGTAATACAGCTGTATAAGAATAGCATGATACCTATCCGATGAAGATCCTGTCATGTCCGGAAGTCAATGATCTCTCGACTAACAGCAAACATGAAGCCTACGACTAAGAGCCAGGTCCGCCAATCGGCGGAAGACCTTTTCAAGTTCTTGTTCATTCAATTTTGGAAAATTGTCAACGTCTTCATCGCATGGCACAAACTGCCGGCCATCATTGGCGCCTTCAACCTCCTGGCGTTGCGATTCGAGCTCCGCCAGAAGAACCTTTACGACACATACCCCTCTCCTGAAGACCAAGGTACAACGGCGCAATGTCCCATGTCCGACACCAAGTTCATGGCTGTCAGAAACTCAGATGGTCTGTATAACGACCTCCAGGCGCCCAAGATGGGCTGCGCCGGGATGCGTTTTGGCCGCAACATCCCAAGAGAGCATGCCAAGATGCCCACTCACGAGGAGCTGTTCACGCCGAACCCGAGGCTTATCTCTGAGAAGATCCTTGCGAGACCGGAAGGTGGCTTTAAGCCCGCCACGATCGTCAACCTCCTCGCTGCGGCTTGGATTCAGTTCCAGGTCCACGACTGGGCGCAGCATGCCTCGAGCGACGAGACTTGGGACGTTCCGATGCCCAAGGGAGACACCTGGCCAGACAAGAAGATGAAGATCTTCAAGACCAAGGTTGACAGTACTCTCTCGAAGCTGGATGATGAATCGCCGGGCTACAAGAACGAAAACACGCACTGGTGGGATGGCTCACAGATCTATGGTTCGACTGAAGCTGAAACCGTCGAACTGCGATCCAATTGCCATGATGGACAGCTTGCGGTCGACCGCGTGAATGGTGAACAGTTCCTTCCTCGCGAGAACGGCATCCCCAAAACCGGCTTCCATCATAATTGGTGGGTTGGTCTTGAGATGCTACATACCCTCTTTGCCTTGGAGCATAATGCTATCGCTGGCCATCTCAAGCTGTCGAACCCATCGTGGACAAGTGATGAGATTTTTGACACGGCCAGGTTGATCAATTGTGCACTCATGGCCAAGATTCACACCATCGAGTGGACGCCTGCTATCTTGAAGCATCCGACATTGAAGATCGGTATGGAGGCGAACTGGTGGGGGTTGGTTGGAGACAAGGTAAGCCTCTCGTATAAGTCTATGCGTTGCAGTCGCTGATGGGGTTGAACAGTTGTGGCACGTCTTCGGCCGTATTTTCGACAACAAATCCGAGGTCATCTCAGGAATCCCGGGCTCGGGAACCGATCAAGACGGCGCCCCATACTCCCTGACCGAGGAATTTGTTTCCGTATATCGTCTACACCCGCTTGTCCCCGACGATATTGCCTTCTTCAAAGTCAAGAGCGGCCAACACGCCGACACCCTTCCGATGAAGGAGGTCGCTTTCGAAAGGGCCCGCACACCATTAGACGATAAGACCTCGAACAGCAACGGCCTCGGTTTGAACTTTGCCGACGTCTTCTACTCCTTTGGCGTCAACTATCCCGGCGCCATTCGCGCGAAGAACATGCCAAACTTTCTCCGTGATTTGCACCTACCCGCAGACAAAGAGTTCCCTCAGGGTAGACATCTCGACATGGGCACTGTCGACATCCTCCGTGATCGTGAGCGCGGGGTGCCGAGGTACAACGCTTTCCGCCGCCTCTTCCATATGCCTGCCGTCCGTAGCTTCAAAGATCTGACCGGCCCCGGTCCTGAGGCCGCAAAGTTGGCGGCGGATCTGGAGGAGGTGTACAACGGCGACATCGAGGCCGTTGATCTCTTGGCTGGCACGCTCAGCGAGCCTCTTCCTGAGGGCTTCGGGTTCAGCGACACGGCCTTCCGCGTTTTCATCCTCATGGCGAGCCGCCGCATCAAGTCTGACCGATTCCTTGCCGGCGATGGGTGGTGTCCTGAGGTGTACACGCGGGAGGGTATGGACTGGGTGCAGAAGAACACGATGAAGGACGTGCTGTGCAGACATTTCCCTGAGCTCGCTGCGCCGTTGCGTAACGTTGATAACGTAAGTCCTGTTAGCCCCTGTCCTTGGTTTCTCTACACAGCTGCTAACAAATTTCGTAGGCGTTTGCACCGTGGGAGAAGGTCGGTCGGACTGCCGAGTATACGGGGAAGGAGACTAATGCTTGAGCTTTATTCACCTGCTCATCCCAAGACTGTAATTTTTGTTTGTTTGGCGGTTTGGGTACATGTTTGGCTGTAACAACTACTTGGGGTCTACGTTGAACAAAGTAAAATGTGGAAGGAGATGAAAATGTCAGTTTGTGCCCGGAGATTCTAGGGTCGAAAACGAAGCCATATCGGCTGGGTGATTTTGATGGAGACAAAGTTTACAGGGCTTGACTAAAATATTTGAACTGTCTCTTTTCAACCTCGCAAATACGAACGTCAGAAATAAGGTCTAATCGAATTGGAGAATAGAGGTGAAGCACGCATCAACACGTAGAGGAATACCAAGTGTGGCATGAGCTGTCAAGTCGAATAAGATATCAAGACTGAAAGCCCGGCGAAAGAGGTCAATCTATGAACAGCTGACGGGTGTTTGCTGGCCAATTCGTTTGAAGCTCCCGCTTGTCACAGCCTCAACCTATGATTCAGGTTCAGCCCTACCGGACGGTGAAAAAATGGTGAGCAGGGCCCATTGAGGCTTTTGTAGCATACCAGTCATCTATTCGACTCAACCCCAGAATCATCCTGTCTCACAGCTAAGCCTCGTACATTTTCATAGCCAGCTGCATCCCATACCAGGTTCTTACAACCAAACCTTACCAAGAAGGAATAGAAGTGCCGCATGGCAAACAAGGGGGGAGGAGTCGCGAACCTGCTGCCTACGCAACTCTGCTCAGGGGTACGCAATGCCGCCGCGTCTTTAAAGTGCTTGGGAGATTAACCACATGTGCCTACCATAGGTCCAATTTTGCTGGCGGTTCGGAATCCGGGAACACCAAAACCTACGTTGGGGACAACGCCGAATGGCCATGGAAGGTAACGGTTTTCTGCCATCTCGAGTCGAGCTGGGATAATGGCTGTTTCAAGTACTACAGTTTCACCAAGATAGCTCATAGATACGCCCACAAACCTCTTAATTGCAACCGCCCAGGCATCACGACCCGGACGGAGGATTCTGAACGAGAGAAACTTTCGATCAATGAGGAACGGAAAACAGGGCATCACGGGCCAATTGCCTATCCGTATCGGACACCGATCAGCATTGGCTCATGAATCCAGTTTTTTATCTGACCAACTTGGCGCTCTGGTTTGCTGCCTCGCCGTGTCACTTCCATGTAACGCTTTTGGTGATTCTTGTAGCAGTCGAGTGCGGGTATCCGCTTTCTTCGCGCGCGACGACACGACCCTCCACCCCTTGAGCCAACTTCGCCAAGACGAAACTTGGGCCCCCCCCCTCTTTTAATCTGGCGCGTGCGTAGTTGTCCTGCAACGGGAGCATGTGGTGGTTGTCACTGGTGCTTGTGTATTGTGTACTGAGAGTGGTAAGCCGTCCGCGTATTCTGGGTCGACGAGGTTTAAAATTGTATGGATGGGAAGATCCTTGGCGGGGATGCTGCACAGCCCTCCTACTCTTTGGTTTTCCTGGGCACACAAGGAGATGAGACCGGTGCAACGAGATCGATGTGCTTGTTTGAGATATAATTGAGGAGGAGACAACCGAATACCGTCCCTCTCTCGTTTCGAATCGGAGTAATCTTCTTCACTGCAATTTTCGTGTCCTTTTTTTGTTCTTCTCTCTGCCGATTTGATTCCCAGTCACTCCTTTCATCCTAGGGAATCGAGCTTTCTCAACGCCAGTCAAGCAAGCTGCCCATAAGTCACCCACTCAAATCACCCAGACAAAAATCACTCAAGATGACGACCGATCAACCACAAAGACAGACCATGGATCCCAACATGGTGCAACCCAAGGAGGAGGACACCCAGAAAGAGGGCTGGTCTTGCGTAAGTCATTTTGGACATTCCATCGTATCTGAGCGTTGTCGATTACATTCCGCTGACGAGCGCCCCAAATACCTCACAGGCCCAGTGCTGTTCAAGCTGCATGGACTGCCTCATGATGTGCATGCGCTTCTGACAAAGTGGCACATCTTCAAAATCTTTCCCAATTCTTTCTTTTCTTCTTCCATGACCAGATGGTCAACTTTTCAGTCTCATACTCAGAATGGCGCATCCACTTTGATGCCTTTTGACCAAGCGCTTGCCCATTGTAGGCCATGATGCGCTTTTAGGGGGCAGGTGGACGATGGAAATTTGGGTTAGGCGTTACAGGAGTTTTGGTCTCCAGAAACCAGAGGTGTCATTTCAGCGAGACGTTCCTTTCTGCCTCGCTCCCTTTTCTTCGCTCTTCAATTCTTCGATATCCTCATGTAAACACCATGCCGTTTACTGTTTTCAATGCAAATCTACAGCACTTTTGCTATATGTCCAAGCATCTCCTCCTTGTGTGATAATCCGTTGATTCATCGACATCGTCAACCCACTGTCCCATCGCGGTGCTCAGGGGACAACTGAGATTCGCGGCCACGCGAGGATCGTCAGGGAGCCCGTGCGCGAGCTCCCGCAATTCGCTACGTACCTCCACTGAGAAATCTCCATTCCAACGTCCCCTCCACTTTTTTTGCACCTTGCCTGTCCCGCCGTGCATCTTGGGGAGCAGTCAGGTTTACGGTCTGTCATTGTCCCTTCTCACGATCTTTCAGCCTCGCCAAAAGCTCACCACCGGCTGCCCCGCCCTCACCCAACCTCCACGGAAACACCCTCATCGTAAGCTCACAGCGGCAAACCTTCTCAAGGCATTGAAACCAGCAGGGCTAACTCTACCAGCTTCCTTCTCCCCCAACCCCACCGCCCTAGTCCTCGAAAATGGCCGACGTGGAAATGGAAATCGACAACCCCCCCTCCCCCTCCGCCGCCGAGGGAGGAGCCGGTGGCAGCGGCGCCGCCCCGGCGCGTAACGAATCCGAGATGCAGACCCACGGCCGCGCGACCGCCGTCCGCTCCATCGAGGGTTGGATCATCATGGTCACAAACGTCCACGAAGAGGCCGACGAGGAGTCCATACAGGACATGTTTGGCGAGTACGGCGAGATCAAGAACCTGCACCTCAACCTCGACCGCAGAAGCGGTTACGTCAAGGTGCGCCTCCCCCCCCCCCCCCTCTTCCATTTGCCCTTGCCCTTCACGTCCCCCTGCCTCCTTCTCTTCACCTTCTCCACAGCCGTAGAGATGAAGCCCTTGGGAGGAAAACGCTGGGAAGCTGACATTGAAAATAGGGCTACGCCCTCATCGAATACGCAACCCTCGCCGAAGCCCGCGCCGCCATCGACGGCGCCCACGAGGCGAAACTCCTCGAACAGACCGTCTACGTCGACTTTGCCTTTGTCCGGCCCCCGCCCGGCGGCAAGGGCGGCAACAACAACAACCAGAACAACATCCGCGGCGGCGCGAGAGCTCAGAACCGCGGTCGCGGACGCAGTCGCAGCCGCAGCGTCGAGAGGGAGGTCGTCGCTGCTAAGGACGGCGATGACATTGAATGATTTTTTTGTTTTCCCGAAACGCTAGAAGAAGCAACAAAAAGTAGGACGGCGACGGCAGCGCAAAGCACGAGGGGTGACGAGGTCTCGAGGTCTCGAGGTTCCGGTGCTAGCAGACAAATGGGGGGGGGGGGGGCGTCTGAGACGATATCTTACGCCACATATCGGAGTCTCCTGAGCAGAAAAAAAAGTTGATGAGGGAGGATTGGAGAAGGAGAAATGAAGGCCTCGATAGCGTGTTGGCCTTTGCCGATGTGTCGCGACCAAGCTCAAGACAAGCCAGCTGGTTCGCGGGAAAAGCACATCGGCATGCGTGATTCAGTCTGAAAAGGTTGGTTTGCTTCTTCTTCCCTCTTCTATATTCCCCCCTTCTCGTCGTCCAATACTGACTGATTTGTAAAGGCTGCAACTAGAAATCAAAAGTTTGACATGATCACATTAATCCTGCAATACCGAGATTCAAGTGAGAGGACTTGTCATCTTAACGACGGTAGTCGAGCCCGACTTCGTTTGAGACCTGAGCGAAATAGTGTAACAGAAATCAGAATCGGCTGTCGGATCCATCGCCAGCGCCTTATTGGGCGAGTCAACTTCAAATCAAGGTGCTTGAGATTCTTCGAGTAGTCAGCCAAGTCCCATCTTTCTCCGAACGCATTTCATGTCTCACAAACATTGCATCTCGACAAAGCATAGGAGTCATAATCGTCATTACTAACGTAAAAGGCCGCCCGGCCTAGAGATATCGAAGAAAGAGCTGATCCCCCAGCACATGAGAGGGAAGGCTAGCAATCCAAAAACTTTTTGATCCTCGTTTGCAATCCTACTCCGTCGCAATGCCCATATGTCATGCTTCGAACCAATAATGTGCCTAAAGAAAAAGGGAAAAAAGACGCCCCGCCCTCATTCATTCTCATCAACTCTCATTCCATCGTCGCGCGTTTCACTCCCTTCACCGACCCTGCCTCACACTCTGCATCTCATGTCTGGCCGGCGAGTCAAATCTTCCTGACGACCCATGAGTACGGGCCGAGTCATAACCTCCAGGCGACTCATACCTCGCGTTCTTGGGCGGCGCATCGTAGACAGGCTCCCGTCCGGCGGAAGGTGCTACTGAAGACTGCCTGGCGGACCCTTGCTTGAGTGAGCCCTGCCTGATGGACCCTTGTTTGACAGATCCCTCGAATTGCTCCTCTGATGCCGGCTCCTGAGGCTGCACGGCGCCAGCATCCTTCTTCTTCATGCTGAACATTCGCTTGAAACCAGACGGGGCAGGTGGCTGAACTGTAGCTGCCTCCTTGGCGTCGTCCCAGATGAGACGCGGCACGAGCAGTCGGTAAGGCACCGTAATACCAGTAGGATCTTTCTGGTTCACCTCCACATTGAGGCAAATATCCAAGCCGCCCTCAAGGTCAACTTCATATGCGTCCGCCTTCTTCTTCTGCTTGACTGACATCCCGGTCGGGGTGCGATGGAACGCCTTTGGCCGCGGTAGAATCTCTTGCGACCGAGGAACCTGGCGCTCGTCGCCCATAGTGTAAGCGCGAGGTGGCGGATGAGCAGTGAACTGAGACTCATCGCCGGGCGAGAACTCGTCTTCCGAGTCAGGTCCCCCCCTAATAGGTGCGCCCCTCATCCGTGCTGCGGGACGAGCCGTGAAGTACGAGTCGTCGCCGGACTGGTACTCATCATGTCCTCCTCCTCCTCCTCCTCGAAGACCCATACCCCTAGACCTAGGCGCACGTCGGCGGTCGTACTCATCATCATATCCATAGTATCCATCATCGACACTACCGTCGACACTATCCTCGTCTCCCCATTGCCCATTGATGCCACCATCATCGGGCTGAGACTTTTTGCTGCTTCGGCGACCCAGACTGAAGACGCGCGTCAACGACAGTGATCGCTTGGGCTTATCAACATTGGTTGGCCGACCTCCGTCAGTCGAGTTGCGGCGTGAGAGGCTTCGGAACAGACCACCAGCTTTGCCCTTGTTGTTGGAAATCGGAGGACGCGATCGAGACTCATCGCGCTGAACATCGGGTCGGTACGCGGGGCCACGATTTGAAGAAAATCGTCTTAAGAGGCCTCCACGGCTCGCCGGTGGGCTTGGGCTTCTATCATAAGCCGACAAAGGCGGGGTAGGAGGCGGTGTTGTGCCCGGAGTCCATTCTCGGATGGAGCACCAGTTGCGATGCGGCAGCAGGTGCTTGTTGTTCCTCGCTTTACCATCGACACCATGGTGGAAGAGCGGGATCATGTCTTCATCAGTCGATTCGTCAAAGTGATGAATCTTGTTACGCTTGTTCAGGATATCCGCCATCAGATCGGGAGGCGGCGTGTTGACGATGGCTGATGAGACGACATTGGGCATGTATCGGAAATCCTTGTGCTTGGGCAGGCCGAGCTTGGGGTTGGCATAGAATTGGCCCACAGCAGCGAGATGAACATCACCACTCAGGAAGGTGACTCTGACAGACTTGTCAGCCGCCAGGTCTTGCATGTCTTGAATTACGACTGTGCGCTCCTTCTTGTGGTTCTTGGCGGTCCAGTGGTCATTGAGGTCGTCGAGAACTTCGACGCCTCCATCAATGTGGTTGAGAGTGTTGCCGAGCATACCCAACTTGCCAAGTGCCTTCACGGGATCCATGGCTCTCGAAGTAAGACTGCAATTGTTAGCTTGTCTTGATGTTATCACAGAGTCAAGAGAGACTTACATGTTTTCCAGCCAGACCAATCTGGGGTAGGCAATTGGAACACCAAGCAAAACAAGCAAGTGCTTAGTTCTGCCTGTCCGCAGCTCTTCGTAGCAGCGGTCCATGATCTTCTGCCACGAGGGCTCGCTGACCACATCGAGCTCGGTCCTTTCTGTTCTGCCATCAACAGCGAGTAGAGAAATGTTGGATCCTAGCTCGACAAACAAGCTACGGCTCAACTCGCTGATGTACGGACCAGGTTTGCTGCCGAGCACCCAGCTAGGCTCAGTGGCGTCCGTCTCACTCGGAATGCTCTGGTGCTGGAAAAGCATATAGTACTTGTAGGCAACGTTGCCGAGGCCAGAGAACACTGGGGAGTTCATGTCGTGGTGGGCGTAGGAGCCGAAGCCATCAGAGATATCGTGATCGTCCCACATGTTGACCATGGGAATCTGCGAATTGGCCAGGCCAAAGAGACCTTGCGAGAACCACATGCAGTACCGTTCCAGGTAAGCCCGTTCAAGCTCGTCCTGCATTGTCAGGGTGAAGGGCGAGTTGTGCTTGTGCAGAGGATTCTTGATCGCCAGCCATTCGCGGAACTGCTTGCTCTGGTCCATCAGGCAATCATTGTAGATTTGGTCGCCGCCGCCAATCATGACGTGAAAAGGCTGCGACTGGTGCGTGTTGAGGACGTCGCGCCACATGGGGTCCGGTCCGCTGAAGTCGTCGGGGTTGACACTAGCACTGAAGCCGTTGCAGCTGTGGAACATAATGTTCATGGACTGTCCCACTGCAGGAACCCAGAAGCCCATTGCAGGGCCCCGATTGATTCTGTAAGCAATCCGCTGCTGCTTCTCGCGAAGCTCGATCTCGATGTTGAAGCGCCAGAACGTGCATCCGCGCTCTGCGTGAAGTCGGAAACCGCGAACGTCCTTGTACTTAGAGACCTTTTCTCCGTCAATCTCTACACGCTTTCTACGGCTGGCGAAAGACCCAGGCAAATCCGGAGAGCCATTAGGCGGCGTGTAGTCTGGAGGACTTCTCGTCTTCTCAAAGAGGCCATTGTCTGTCTCGTCTCTGGACAAGTCCTTGGCCTCGTCGAGATGCTCCACAGGGCGGACATAAAGGGTCTCTCCCCGTCTACCCAGCTTCGGAATGCCCGCAATCGGATCCACGTATTCTGGCGGTAAACCTTGCTCCCCGGAGATCTCCTGAGGTGGGGGCGGTAGGAGCTCGATAGGCTGCACGAAAAGTCTCAATGTTGGCGCGATTTCGTACGAGGAGTCGCTGTCTTGCGTGACGATCATGACTGAGCCTCTCCATATTGTCTTCTCATTGACAGCGATGTTCCTGTTACGGGCGGGAACCTTCTCGTGCTTGAGTCCGCAGTATCTCAACAAAGGACCACACTTGAGAAACAGCGGCGGCTTAAATCGTGTAGGTGCTAGGGTGTCTGTAAGTCTCGTCGCATAACTCAGCCCGGCCTATAAGAAACTTACCATGTGTGTCGTCGTACTCGCCGTCGAATGCTTCAGCCTTGCGCGGCCGCGAAGTGCTTTCTCTGCGCTTACCGCCTTCTCTGCCACCCTCCCACCAAGGAGTGTCCTTATCAATGGAGGCGAGCCGCTCCTCGCTGAGGTCCAGCATGTTGCCGCAGAGGCTACCGACGGTCGCCTTCTTCCACTCATCGAGGTATACAGGCGGTTTGTAGATGCCCTCGCCAGGACGGAAAGTCTTCTTTGCGGGATACAAATCCCGAGAATCGTCACTAAATCCATCATCCTCAGAGTAGTACTCCCTGTCGGTGGGCCTACCACGCGCCGCAGCATGTCCGTGGGTTGCATGAGGATATCCATCGCCACGCCCACCAGATGCTACAGGCGCACGCCGAGGGTCTTCGTAACGAGGATCTTCACCGTCAGAGTCGGAGTCGTAGTGTTGTGCTGCCGGGGCAGTCGAGCGTCGCTGAACTCCTCCAAAGTCAATACCAATTAGCTTCGCAGCCTTACTGGGCATCCTGGTCTGTCTGGCTTCTTCAATTGTTGCGTCCGGGGGCAATGCCTGTTCGCGCGTTGCGTGCGACACGGATCTCTGCACCGGGGGACCGCCCTTTTCGGCCGCAGATTGGTCCATGGCGGCATTGCGGAACTCAATGTTTTCGTACTTCTTCTCTGCATCCTTCCGGATGCTGAACCAAGGATCACCTTTGGGCTGCTTCTTGAGCTTATTGCTCCCGCTCCTAGTCAGAGAGAAACTGGGTCTCCTAGAACCAGCTACTGGCGGGGTAGGCTCTGGGCTGTCGTCTGGATTTTGAGGATCGGCAGCTTGAGGCAACTTCATGTTGTCCTTCGCGGCCCGCTCCCGGAAGCTCAGATTGCGCTTCGGAATACCGGAGTTTGCAACGGCAGGTTCACTAGGCGGCTCGCGAAGGCTCACACTTCGCTGCGGAACACCAGAAGAGGGCGGAGGGCGTCTCACTTCCATAGCCTCCATTGCGGGGCCTCTCGACGGGTAAGGGCCAGATGCATGCCGCCTATGGCTTTCGGGCATGTGCTGCTGGTGTTGTCGCCGATCGTCGAGCGATTGGCGCGGCGCATATCTTGCTTCGTCTTCGGGGTAGTATTGCGCCGGGGGTCCACGTGAAGCAGCGACGTTGGCGTGCTGCTGCACATGCGGATTATCGTCATATCTTTCGTCGCGGAAGCGCACCTGCTGTACAGGCACTTGATGTACCTGTACTTGCTGGACTGGGGGCTCAGGCAGTGGTCGCTGAGGCTCTTGCTTGGGATGTTGTCGCGGCGCGCGTTGCGAAGCTTCAGGTGGTTGAAGTAGATCAGGGTTCTGGGCAGCCTTTGCCGCAGCCTTCTCCCTGGCGCGGCGCTCTGCGGCCTCCACACGAGCTCGCTTCTCCTCTTTTGTAATGGTATCGAGCTTCGACTCAAGCCTCTGTAGTGGAGAGCGGTCGTTGGCGAACTTTCTGCTGGAGTCTCCCATGGAAGCTTTCCTCCTCTGTGCATCTCTGCCTGATCCTCCGGCCGATCTCCTCCTCGACGAGCTCTGAGGTTCGCGGGGTTCGCGGGGTTCGCGGGGTGGCCGCGTCTCGGTTGCCACATCCAGTGTGCGCTGGGAGCGGTCTAGGGGAGGGAGGTCCTGCTGTTGCCTTTCGGGGGCAGGATCCTTGTAGTACTCTTCAGGGTTCATCTCGTCTTCCGGACCGACCAGCGGACTAGGCTGTCGCGGTGTTCGAGCTGGACTCGGAGCAGGGTGGGTGTATGGTAGACCACCATTGCCGTATGGATGTCTGAAGCTCACGGGAGGTGCCTTGGGCACATCGGGGGCAGCTGGAGGCGTGGGAGCGGAGAGAGAATCTTGATCAGGGTCCTCGTCCCTATCATCGCCGTTGCGCTCTCTGCGTCGTCGCTGGCGCCTCTCGGCCGGCTCCTCAGGATACTGAGACTCGCCGTAGGGAAAAGTCGGCGGGCGCGGGGCAAGCCCTTGGTCCGCGACGCTGGATGCAGTGGGCGATGCGAAGGGGCTGAGCGTAGACTCGGTGTAGGCCTCGGTGTTTGTTGTCTGTAGGGAAGTGCGATTCGACTTTGGGGGATGAGGAGGAAGCGGTTTGTCTACTGCCGCTGCTGTTGTTGCTGCTGCGGTTGAGGGAACTGGCTCAGGTGACATGCGCTCCGGGAGACTAAAGTCTTCAGACTGGCGACGCTGGCGTCTGGCAGCTTTGGGGCCAGACAAGTCCCCCCAATACGGCGCAGGAGGCATGGCGACGAGGCTGGCTACCTTGGCCCTTGGGAAAGTCTACCGTCGTCGCTGGGATTTGCGAAGCGCTAATCGAGCTGCAAGACGGGAACAGACGTGGGCGCAAGCACCGGTGAGTCGTGCGTACCGCCGTCCGTGGGAAGCAAACTTGCAGAAATACCTACAAACTACTCGGTAAACTAAAGCAGAGTCTAAGTAGCGGTATAGTGAATATGGCCGGGCGTCAGAGACATATGCGGCTTGCCATAGCAGCCAATGCGATGCAGACACGCGGGCGCAAATGAGGTCGGCCGTATGCAAGAGCAAGGAAGTCGAGGGCGGTAGGTAGGTCACCGAGATGAGATGCCGAGAGGTGAGATATGGGATGATAGGCCGCAGGGAAAGGGAATTGGTGGCAGCGAAAGAAGATACGGACGAGAGTGAAAGAGAAAGATATGAGACGAGAGGTTAAGAAAAGAGCCTTCCGAGAATTCCCACTGGACAGAGAGAGCTTGAGCTTTTCCTGGCGACTCAAGCACACACCGGCAGGCCGCAGAAGCTAGAGAAAACCAAGAGCTGGGAAAATGGCGAGGTTGACTGGTTTGTGCTACGGCGTCATTCGCCCACCAAGTTGGGTTTAGCAAGATGGATGCTCGACCGGGGTTGGGGGCGGCTTGGGCGGAGAGAAAGCGCGAGAAACCCTGTCTCGTCGACCAGGGGTCTTGAGTCTGTTCCAGTTCCAGCTGTTCCAGTCTTGTCTTTTGGTGTCCTGTCACTCTGTTCCTACCCGCTAAGGTAGAGATACCTTAGACCCAGGCGTGTCATCGATTGGGCTGACAAGGCAAGAAAGACGCATCGAATGCCGCTGCCGCTGGGCACGAACAGCCGCGACAGGGGACGGGCTTAGTTGTCAACAAGGTAGGTACGAAGTACGGGCTACGGAGTAATACAACTGGGTCAACGGGTCTTGCTGTCAGGTCGGGAGTCAAAGAAGGAGGAGAAGGAGGAGCTCCGGGGTGGGAAAGTAGAAGATGGAAGAAGAAAAGAGGCGGTCGGAATGGAGCCACTGAATGGCCTCGCTTGCCATTGACCAGTGACCACGACTCCGATGGCTGCAGCTTACATGCAGCCAGGCCCAGAGAGCCCCTCGTCTCCATCGTGCCATCTACGAAGTACGCCGACGGGGGGCGCGGCAGCACGGGGTGAGGTGGGAAGGAGGCTCCAGCTTGCTTGCTACCACATGCCGCTTTCCTTCTTGTTCCCGCTAACCGCCAATGAGGCGGTACGGGAGGAAGAGGGCTACGGTGAGTCTTCGCTGCCATACGCATTGATGTGTCCGTACAAGTACAAAGGCCCTGTCGAAAGACACAGCAAGCGATGTGAGATGTGAGATCGGGGAAAGGCGCGGGTGCAGGGTTTCGCAGGACAGGGTATCTTTAGAACAACGTGAAGACAATTGCATCCGTAGAGGGAAAGGGAAAAAAAAAAGAAGGTGGCTGAAAGTCTCGTAATTGTTCACTCCTCGAATCGTCGAATCGAGTAAAAAAGCGAGGTCAAGGCAAGGCAAGGTAGCCCCAGGCAAAAGTACAAAAAAAACAGGGTACGGAAGGGACAGATACGGCACCCGGTAATCAAGTTCCCTGCAATTCAAACAAAAGTCAATTCGTCGATCCGAACACAATCGAACGAAACTGGCGGTCGAATATTGAGGTGGTTGGCGCAAACAGAGACACCTACGCTACCTACCTGAACCTCACCGTTAGACTGACGGTGACCTCGACAGCTTCGATTACCCGCCAAGGCCTACAGGAAGAAAAAAGGAAGAAAAGCAACTGATTTGGCACCTTTGATTGACTGGTCCGTTGTTCCAAGCCTAGGCAGACCGTTTACTGTCTGAGTCTCTAACATGGGCTGCTCGACATGAGGGACCGAGATTTATATGTTTGAGGGGAAAAAGTCCAAACCGAAACAAAGTTTGAGGAGTGAAGACAACAATAAGTTGCACTCGAAGGTCGACATAATGCAGACCAAGACCAAACAGAAGACCCTTGAGAGCTTAATTCTCAAGCCGTCCAGGAGCCATGCAGTAGCTGGATTCTTCGGTGCGGGAGCGCCCGCCCCTCTCCAGAGCAGTACTTCAGACCAGGACTCCCTCTCTTTGACAGAGCTTGGACTGTAGTCTTCTCCAACGACTCCAACGAGTATCCTTAGTTTAAAACAAAGAGCACATGGGAAATCGCAACGGGGCTATCCAGTGTTTCCAATTTGATTGATTGGTTGCGCCTCTCAACACCAACAGCGCCGTCTAACGTCCATGAGAAAAAATACACTAACCACAATGCCCAAATGCTATAAAAGTGACAAGAAAGAGAAACCTCAAGGTATTTCTATGCAATGGACGCCCATACCTGCTCCGTCATACGCCTTATTTTTCAGTGAGCCTGTCAGTCTCTCTGTTGCCGCTACCCTCTCTCGACCGGTCCCGGTTGTCGTGGTATGCCCCAGTCTCATCATCGTCATCCTCGTCATCGCCGGCAAATGCATCGTAGAGCTCGCGGCCCCGCGTACGCTTCTCGCCATTGAGGCCCTCCGTCTCGTCCTCATTGAGCAGCTCGAACTCGTAGTTGTCACGAGGCGCGCTGTTGCGGCGCTTGCGGATGTAGAACCAGATACCCAAAGCAGAGCAGAACACAGCAATGAGACCAATAGCGCCGTAGACCCAGACGCCAGCCTTTCCGAACGACGGGAGCCAAGACACCCAGTTGGACGGGCTGGTCGTTGCCGCAGGCGTCTCCTGCGTGTCTGTCGGCTTGCCAGTCTCCGTAGGTGTCGCGTCGGCTCCAGACTGGATCTTGGTAGGCCGCTCGGGGTGGTCGGAGGGCTTGACAACAGTTGCGGTGTTCTCGGCAGCGTGCGTCATGGTCGTGATAGCAGCTGGCAGAGTGGTGGTTGCAACAAGCGCGTGATCGTTATCGTCCTCCTCAGTCGGCATGGGGAGGAGAGTTGCCTTGCTAGCGTCAATCGACTCGCCCCAGAGCTTCAAATGCCAGTCGACAAAAGTGCCCTTGTGTTCGTTCTCGTTGGAATCCTTGACCACAACGGTCCACTTGCCAATACCGGATTCACCCCTGATTAGTTGTCAGCATTCCGATCCTAGTGTCTCGCCAATTTTCCGAGCAACTTACCAATGGGCAACACTCATGAAAGTCCAGTCAACGTAGCCAGACTTGGCCGAGTCCATCTTGCGGGTGACAGAGAGGTGACTGGTAACTCCTTCGGGGCTGATCAAGTCGGCACTCAAGTCACCTCTACGCGTGTGGTTCACGTTCATGGTGACGGTCACATGCTCCAGTCTCTCGAGGTTGGCCTGCTTCAGAGCATCCGCAGTGACATCAAAGCTGACCGCGATGCCGTCTTTGCCTTGAGGAATATCCTTGTTGACGTGGATCCAAGGAGAATAGTACCAAGCCTGGGGCTTGACGTTCTTCCAGGCCTTGGCTGCCTCAACCATCTTGAACGCATCAATCTTGCCGTATCCGTACGTGTGGCTGAACTTCTTTCCAATCTTGGTCGGCATCCACTCGCCGTTGGCCTCGTCGATGGGCACAGCGGTGTCCATGGCAAGCCATTGCATATCTCTCCAAGTAAGGTCAGGGCGAGCCTCGAGAACGAGTGCGTAGACACCAGCACCCAAAGGAGCAGCGGCGGAAGTACCACCGTGACCGTTATAGCAGGCATTTTGGCCGACATCAGTGGTGTGCTGCGCAAACAAGTCAGTTCTGGTCCTATCAAGCTAGAAGAGTCTGGAAAACATACGATAGCATCTCCACTGCCACTGCTGTAGGTGACAACAAGCTGAGCCGAGCACTTCTCGGAGTAGTAAGGGTGCTGGCCCTTTCTGTCAATCGCGCCAACTGTGATGCTGTAAATGGAGTTTGTGTAGCCGTCAAAATTGCAGTTGTCATCGTTCGCGGCGCCGTTACCACTGGCAAAGACGTAGATGGATCCCTTTCCGCCACGGCCCTGCTGGATGCCCTTGAGCATAGCACGCTTAATCAGAATACCAGGCGCATCCATGGATCGACCGTCATCCGGAGGGCCCCAGGAGCAGGAGTAAATGTCGTTGTGCTGGTAGTCGTAGGTCATCGCGACAGCCTCGTCGGCATCCGAAATCAACTTGCTCAGAATACGGATACCCGCAATCTTGGAATCATAGGCCACTCCGACACCGCAGACGTTGTTTTTGGCCGCAGACACTTCACCAGCGCACCGGGTGCCGTGCTTGTCGTCGCTGAGCGTAGGCTTGGGCTCTTCGCGGTGGTCGTTGAAGTCGTAGGAACCGGCGGCGTAGTAGTTAGGCTTCAGGTCGTCGCTGTACATGTCGAGACCGTCGTCTACGATGGCGACAGTTGCATTCTTGCCCGTGATGCCAGACTTCCACACGCCGGCGACGTTGATGTCGTGGCCTGGCTGGACGGTGTTGAGCAAATGCCACTGCTCGTTGAAGATGGGATCGGCGATGCCGAGGGTCTTCATGACTTCGTTCATCTGCTCAACCATCTTAGGGTCGGCCGCGTCCTGGCGAGCGTAATTGGCCGGCCCATGCGACCGCGGGGGGACTCTCTTCTCCCAAGGCTTCCGAAGCTGCTGTTTCTGCGAAAGACGGACGCCATCGAGGACGTCGGAGCCGCCAAGCGTGCGTTTCCGCAGCTTGCGCTCCTGCAAGGCTGGCTTGACGATGTCGTGCTCGACCTTCCTAGCGGAGAAGATGTGATGGCCGTCGAGACTGCCGAGTGTACCCTCGTGCCTCAGACCCAAGCGGTCGGCAACCTGGCCGGGAGATGTAGACGAATCCAGCTCGAGAACATAGTAATCGTTCGTTTCGTAGTTTCGAGGGGAGGAAGTACCGCTCGCGAGGGCAGCAAGGCCGAGGAGAACCGCGGAAAGCTTCATGATGCGCTGCCGAAGACCCCTCGAGGGGATGTTGATAATGCGCAAAGAAAGGAGGGACTGCAGAGGAAGGG